GGAGGGGCCGCTTGCCCCGCCCTGCCCCCGCCTGGTGGTGCTCCGCAGCCTCCACCTTGTACCGGGGGCGCCACCGCACCCCAGCACCCCTGCCTTGTGCCCGACCCCCTCCGGAAAGCCACCCTGGGCTGGGCGCCGGCCGGGCCGTGGCGGGCAGCGGACCTCACGGCCTGTGCCAGGCGCCTGTGTGCCAGTGTCCACGGGGGGCAGGGGGGGCCAGTTGGGCGGGCCGCGTCTCCTGGGCCCCCTGCAGCCCTCCCCACGGGGCCGGCCGGGCCAGGCCGGCTGTTGTGTGCTTTTCGTGACGGGCGTTTCGGCCGAGGTGAAGGCGGCCAGGTCGCGTGCCGCCGCCGTCAGAGCCCAGCCCCTTCCCTCGCCTGGCCCTTGTCCGCTCCTCTCTGGGCCACCCCTGGGAGGGGCCCAGGGTCCCTCCCGCCGCGTGGGCTCAGGGCCTCGCCTCCTCCTGCCCCTGGGGCGGCGGCCACCAAGCGTCCACGGCACGCTGGGCGAGCTTCAGCGAGGCCTGGACGTTGGGTGTGGCTCTGGGGGAGGGCGGCCGCCTCCGGCTCGCTGCGAGCCGGGCCCCAGTCTGCCTTCGGAGGGCGGCGGCGGTGGGAGGCCTGAGTGGGGACCGCGGGGGAGGGGCTTTCGTGCCCCCCCCACACCCCCGTGTAGGGGTCGGCGTGTCTGGGTGCGTGTGGCGTTCAGGCGGCGGCCGCAGCAGGGGACACACCTCCTCCCGCTGCCGGGCAGCGGCCCGCCTGTGGGCCGCCCAGGGGCTCCCCACACTGCTCCGCGTGGCGGTGCCGCGGCACGTGGCCTTGGGGCCTCTGCGGGGGACGGGGGGCTGGCGGAGCGAGCCTGCCAGTGCCGGTCTGACACCTGCCCGCAGGGCGCCATGTTCTGGAAGTTCGACCTGCACACGAGCTCGCACCTGGACACGCTGCTGGAGCGGGAGGACCTGAGCCTGCCCGAGCTGCTGGACGAGGAGGACGTGCTGCAGGAGTGCAAGGTCGTCAACCGCAAGCTGCTGGACTTCCTGCTGCAGCCGCCGCACCTGCAGGCCATGGTGGCCTGGGTCACGCAGGAGCCCCCGGCCAGCGGCGAGGAGCGGCTGCGCTACAAGTGAGTC